CCATTTAATCATTTAAGTAACATTTCTAGAATTACAGACATATAAAATTACGTAACTACTTAAAGCATGGACAGCAGGATAAACCTTCTCCACCACCAAAAGTGAGATTTGAAAACAGAATGACAGTTACTGAAGTGGAAAAATACCGGCAACCTGTTCCAGATGGCAGGATCTTCGGAGAAGGGACTGTCCCAAGCAACCGCTGAACAGCGAAGCGCAGTCGGAGTTTGACAGCGTTGAGCCAAAGAGGAAGGAATGATCAAGACAGAAAATGAAAGGACAACCTGGAGTTTGGAGAGAGTTTATGAACCCTCAGTTGCACAGGAGGTAGCAAAGTTGTCTGAGGAGTAAGCTCAAGTGACTGTGTTTTGTACACAGGAGGTCAGATTCGGAGGGTTTACCGTGAAGGAGCTGGGCCATAGTCCAAGCAAAGTCAATACAGTGAGTGCCGACTTCACAGGGACGTCCGACCCGGTGGCACGCAAGCAGGTGGTGCGCCTCGAGGAGAAGGAGGCTGCCGAAGCGGACCGTGCGCCTGGAGAAAGGTTCCCGTCAAGGACAGGACTAGGACACAGACAGGCCAACTGGGGTGCAAGGAGGCAAATCACTTGTGATGTAGGCCTCCCTTTTTGTGAGGGAGGCTCCCCCTCGCCTCAAGGGAAACAAAAAATCTTTGCTGCACTTTACCCAAGGGAAGAAGTCAAGGGAAAAGCATAATTTCACATAATTCAAGCAGACAGAGGATGGGATTGTTTAAAATACACACAGTGCCAGTAGTTACTTCGGGTAGCTCAGACCTTCTGTAAAAAGAACAAGTTGGAGAGAGAGCCAGCAGGGAAGCAAGTTTTCTAGTAGCTCGCGATCTTAATGTACGGAGTAGCCTCACCAAGGCAGGTGACAAGACACGGCGAGGCCGCATTTGACCAGTTTAGTTTGAGTCTCGCTGCAGCCAATGGGATATCAGTCCTTGCGGAAAGAAGAGCTGTCCCAAGGCCATCACTCGGCCATGCTTATTACCTACGGGGGTCGTGTCCGTCCAGGTAGATATGAGGGTAGTCTGGGACAACAGGCGATTGAAACCTTGCCTAGCTCTACAGTAAAGGCCTCTCCTAAAGGAGGCAGGAGACAAAAGCTGAATGTCATCAGGGAGATGTGTTGGTGCAGGAGGAGGCTTGTTTATCATCCGTCTAGCTTTACAGAACTCTTTTTGTCTTTGAAAGCCTCCCCTAAGGCTATTTAAACACAGGGAAACCACATCAAACTAGACCAGGAACGTAGGTCTCGGGTCTCGTACCATCTTGCAGAACTGAGACATTTATCAACGCATACAATTTGTTTTGTTGTTACTGCAAAACATTATTGCAATAGATCAGATGTCAAATCCAACTGAAGTTGTGTAACCCTGATGGAGATTTTTTGGCAAATTACTACAAATGCTTTTAGGGATAATATGTATTTCCAATCATTTTCAGTCCTTGTTCCTGAACCGAAAAGGGAAAGCTGATCTTTGTAGCGACAGACGACATTTACTGAAGCTGTAAAAGCAGGCTTTTCAAGAACTTGGACAACTCAACACCGCAAATGCAGGGAACCCTCTAATACATACTAAGAATGTAGTAGCCACCTTTTGCAGCTTTGCTTATATTATGATTTCTCAGAGCTGAGTCTTTGGGACATTCTACCTTGAACATCCTCCTTCCATATACTTGGTTTCTGAGATGCCAGGAATCTATCCTAAGAAAATTCCTCTCTAAATGTGGGAATTTAGGCAAAATGTGTAACATTTCCTCACAGGCTGTTACATAATCTGCTATGCGAACGTGAAGTTGCAGCTGAGGAGTGGATTACAGAATGTGCCCAATAAAAATAATTCATTGTAAATGACTGTATGTATTGCAAAAATGGTTTCTTACTGAGCTTAAAAACCCAATCAAGTACCAACTGAATTTGATCAAATAGCTTAAACTGGGGTCCAACGGCTTCAATCAATAAGGACCTCTGGCATAAGGAAAAGCCTCAGCACTGAACAATATTGCTCCCATCTGACAAGCTATCCCAGGGTGAGCAGAACTGAACATAATAGGGCTCTGACTGGTTCTTTCTTTCAGTGAAGCTTTGTGTAAAGATGTGGATTACAGCACATCAGAAATTATTACACATGCTCAGAGGGTTCCTTCTCTGTTCTTTCAGCTATGAAAATGAGGAGTAGCAGAAATGGAGAAACTGCTGCATTATACACAGACTGCATATAATGTATTTTTTCTCAAGAAAGCCCATATCTTTCTAGCCAAAGAAGTGTTCAGAGAAGAGGAAATACAGTTTTAAGTTACCTAAAGTACAATGCTTTCAATTAAAGCACCTGCTATTACAGAACATGATAGTAGAATTAAAGAAAACAAAAAGCAAGGTCAGATGTAAAGTCCATTGAAATTAATTGGAGAACCTCTTTTTTTTCAGGGATCTTTGGATTAAGCTCTGAATCACTGCAAAATATGATATTCAGAATGCAAGAAACAAGAAATTATGCTGAAAGACTCTTCTGCTGTTAGCAAATATGCAGAGTGAGACTAATAAATATGCACCTGACCACTGGCTGTTAGAATATTCAAAAGTAATGCTTTTTAACTGTAAAATAAATACAAATAATACATATACATGTCATATAAGAAATGCTGTATTATGAACCCACACCTGGCTTAAACTTATACAAGAAATTGAAAAAACAGCAGTGGATTTCTATGCGCTTTTGGTTGAATGCTTACACTGCTTTATAAGGATTTCAATTTACGTGTCCTATACCACTTTACCATATATTGTGGTAAGAATACTTGCCAAAAATAAGTACAAACACCTCACAGTTTAGAAAAAAAAACTTTAGTATATAATACAAAGGCCCCATGAAACTGAAAAATTAAAGCAAGATAGACATTTTTAAAAACCAAATTAACAAAATTGCCTAATTATATCTGCTGGAACACTCCACGTTGCTAACAGTAGTAGATCTTGCTTGAAAAGGACTCAGTGGTGTCAGCTGACCCTCTGAGGCAGCTGACCTGTCCCTAGGTTAGGGAAAATAAAGCAAATATCCTATTGCATAACATGTACCAAACTTCCATGGGAAAACATCCTTCATGTTATATATGTGATATGTGCATATTATACCTTTGTTATTTTCCAATAATGGCAAAGGTAAAACATCTGAACTCTCATCTTACGGAAACTGTTTCTAGGAGCTCAGATTTAATTTACAGAACTATCTCCCTACTTGGGTTTGTTCATGAAGCAGGGCGGTACTTTGAAATCAGGAATTTCTGGTTGCTACAAAATATTCTACTGTCCTTCAGTGGCTTTTAGCTCTGAGCCAAAAAGAGAAAAAAACCCATACATCAGTGAGGCTAGAAAGATAAGTTCAAGGTGAGATTTGTGCTGTTACGACTCGCTCCGGAGCACAGTGAAGTCAACAGGAAAGCTTTTATTTCAGTTCAGGCCTTTAGCATATTTTGCACAACGTGGACCAAATTACTTTAGTCAACCCCTTGCTAGGAGAGGAAGCGCGCTAAGGTGGCTAAGGCATTCAGTTGCTCCTCTTTAGGAAGGTCTTCATCAAACACCCAGTTTGTACGTATCCACTATAAATCTGGGAAGAAGTTAAGTCGTTATGAGGAACAAAGAAAAGTGACTTTTCCTTACTGTTTCAAAGAGTAAATGCAAATACATTACCATCAATAGGCAAGAAATCCTGACAGAGGAGCTGAGAAACAGTCACACAGTGAATCAGCAAATCATAGACAGCTAAAAGCAACAGTAATGGTAACAAGTAAAAATATTCACAGCTGGTCAGACCATAAGATACTATTGCAGTGGTCTGTCTGGTTTAGCAGGTAAGCAGAGGATTTACTTCCTCAGATTTTTAATCTAACACTTTTAGAAGTAAATTCATTTAAATTCCTTAGCAAAGAGAAGACAAAGGAATGTGCAAAAGCAAATACTAGTTACAGAAAGTATGTTTACTGTATGTACATATGTGCTTCTTCTGAGTGGATAAGCCTTTTTTTCCTCCAATTAGGTCTGTGTCTGTACTTCATCTGTCTGTATAGGAGTCAACTCTTCCTCACCCAGAGAACTTTGGAACCCACCAGCACATACCAAACTGGGTGAGTGGTGATGGTCTCACAGATATGAAATTCCTACAAGGTTGTGTGAACGTCAGCAGCTAGCAAAGGAAAGGAACCCAGGATAGTGCCCTGCACTGAAGAAAAGCCCACAGCATAAACTCCACAACTGTCTCCTCTTGGGCCGTGACCCCCTGCCTTGCCCAAGCAGCAGTTTGGTTAACCTGGGAAGGAATGGCAGGACAATTGAGTGAACAGAGAGGAGTACTGGATGAAATGGAGACGGGATAGCGGAGGCTTGCAAAGTAGTGGAGGAAGGGAGCGGGTTGTAAAAGTGTAGTACACAGAACGCAGGAAACCAAGCTTGATTAGCTCCGCTGTCCACAGGGCTGCTTGTTTACGTTGGGCTGTTGCTAATACAAAAGCCATTGAACACGTGCAAAAATATTATGACCTTGATCCTGTCACAAGCTCCACAAATGCAGATTGTAGAGCCCATGCAAAGCCCTGCTGACTTTGTTTCTATTCCAGGCAGGAGCTAAGATAGTTTATGCAATTTAGACACTGAACCTGCAATGAATTCTACATCGACCTGCCTTCACAGAGGCAGGCTTAACTGGCCAGAGCTCTGAGATGGATTTGCTTAGGCCTTCTCATATAGCAAGGTCTTCAGAAACGACCAAAAGACTTTTAGAACTTAAATACGAACACCCTCTGCACACACACATTTTATTGTAATAAAAACTAGAAACTTTAAAAATAAAAGTGGACAATGACCAGGGCAGATAGAATAGTTTAAAAAAGCCATATGCACCAATCTCCTCTGCCCACTATGTCCTGGCAGAACCAGTCCTTGCTCCCATACTTAGCTTCAATAATCCAAATGTATGTCTTCTAAACTGTATTCTGAACATAATAAGTAACCATTGAGCCTGACCTGTTTCCATAATATCTGCAGGTATATGACTGAGGGACAAAACGGTCACTTCCCTCTGATCCCCGGGAATTTCTTTCTATCCCTTTGGAGAGTAAAAGGAGAAAATATCGACATTCAAGCAGGAAGTTATTTTCTGCCGTTGTTCTTCACATCTGCAAAATAAAATAAAAGGTCAGATATTCCTGCCTTTTTATTTTCCTAGTTACTAGTAAATGGCTTGATCGCTGAGGCTGATGGGAATTAGAGAGCTCAGCTTCTAACTAGATCAAGTTTCTGATTAGCTTTTAAAGGAAATACAATACCACTGCATTTCAAAATGTTCCTTGACCAAAACAAATTTTAGCTAAGGTTCAGTACTCTTCCCATTGAATGATTAGTCAAGAAAACAGTTTCTGATCTTGCACAGCATTACATGTTCTTCTCCTTTACTCCAAGGACCAGCTTTCACCATTTATATGGCTGAAATATAAGCTCAAAGCAGTTTTTAACCCTATTTTCTTTGAATCATATTAAATTCATGTCTTCTACAATGCAGCTGGATAAACAAACCACCACCAAGACATGCAAATATGATTTTTGATGAAAACCACTTGAATGATGCAAGCAGTGAAGTCATCTTTTCTCTTGAGAAATATATCGCACCAAATTCAAGCTAAGATTAACCCCGGAAGCTTCAGAGGACTAACATCTAATTCTCTAGGGCTGAATTTGCCTCATTAGAAGTAGGAGCAGCAAATGGCACTTCTGACACAGACATGAGTCACAGTGTTAGCCAAGCCTTCTCTCCCCAAAAAACAGACACATCGTTTTTATTTTGTATTTCATCTCAGGATCTCTAGTGTAACTGATTGGCTAACCTGTTTTAACTTCTTGGGTAACGTATCTGAGCGGTCCTAGTAGCTGAATTCAATTTTAAGGTCATTTTCAAACATTCCCCCCTAAAGTGTGAAAACAATGGGCAATTGGCTGATGCCTTCTCAGACAAATTGTCACGATGATACTCCTCACCCTAAGAACAAGGTCAGCGTGAGGAATGCCATGGACTCCAGTTACACTGAGATTCAAAGTAGTATCTCTCATCACAAGTGAAGGTGAAATAAATAAACAAACAATTAGAGAAATAGGAACATTAATGTATTTAAAATGTGCCTAAAATGGGTAAACTCTGTTGTTAGCCATGCCATGAAATGGTAATAGGAACGTTAATGTGCACTGATAATACTCTAAACTAACCTGATTCCACTCTTCAGTTCAGATTTGTGGCTGGAAATAAAATTCATTAGTAACATATGAGAAACATTCAGGATGTTTTCTTTGTAGGGTTATCAGTGCAATCTGAGATAAAGGCTTCATGTATGTTACGAATTGTTTCAGAAATATTGAACATAGCTACTCACCTGTTTCCTACCATATACTGATAATCACAGTGTATTTAAAATAGGGCTTAACATGCTGTAGTATTCGCAGTGGAAAGCCTCAGAACATCTGTTTATTTCAGTCTTAAGTTGAAGGTAAAGATAACACAAACAAAATTTCAGAAGATATTAGTAGTTCTATACTTACCAAGCTCATTAATAAATTCATTGGATTCCTCCCCAGCAGCGTTTCTTTTCCAACCTGGAAACTAAATTATTGACTGTGAAGAAAAACAACATATGCTTAGTTTTCAACAGAATGTTAATTTAGGTTTAAAGAGCCTGATTCTGCAAAGTGCTTCTTGGCCTAAACTCCTATGGAAACCAGTTACAACTGGAGATGCACTTTAAGGACAAAGACCAGGTCTCTCATTAGTGGCATATCACTGTATTTGGCAGATACTGAGACCACACAGCTTAGGTCAAGCCGATTACCATAACATAGCTACCATGAAACCTAAAATGCTTTCAGGAAGCAACATCTGTTCAAAACAGGAACACATCCTAGACAAAGTGTGTCCCCTGCATATAATGTCTTATTTTACTTGCGTTCTCCAAACCATCAAAGTTAGCTGGTCAGGAGATAAAAATATGGACCTCAGCTATATGAATGTGGGTAGAGGAATAAAAACGCTTCCTGGTATCAGGTTTCAATACACCACTACCACTTCTCTTAAAGGCAGATTGGAAGTTTCTGCAGCATTTAAATGACCTTACAAAGCAAGCACTCTAAAACAAAAACAAACTGCTTTCCAGTTCAAACTTTTTTACTGCCTCATTGGACAGGGATAAGGCTTCACCGTAAGCCAAGGCACTCCAGTAAAGTTAAGGCATTTTGGAGGACAAATAGAAAAAGGGAGTGAACCTGAAGAATCGTACCAATTCAAAATACATGAGTAGTGCCAGAAAAAGTACTGTGTATAAATGTTATATTCTGATTTAGTGGTTCTATAGTGTTTATAAGAGTAGTTAGCTCTATTAACTTAGCTTTATAGTAAGCAAATGCAGCCCTTCGGGGCCCTGCACTACTGCAAAAGCCCTGACTGCTTCCAGCTGGCTGCTCCATGCTGCTCTGCAATGAATGCAGGTCCCTCTGCTGCATTGAATAAACATTTCGGACTGAGTCCTTCCACGCTGAGATATGTTTGGGATCTTGATCCACATCTAAATTTTTCAGCTAACCTTTCACTGTATTTCCGTTCTCTTTGTCTCTTGTAGATCATGATATATTTATAACATCTCAGCTATTTCCAGACCTCAAGTAGACAGCAAATTGATGAGTCACTGTGAGGATAAGCCTTTGAAAGAGTAGGGCGGGGAAAGAACAAAAATACAGCAAAGTGACAAAAGTAGAAAAATATTCTTTGCCTATGTAACAGTATTAACATTCCTTACCTTTTTTCTATGCCATATTTCACAACTTCCTAAATGAGCACATCAGCCATAAATTTTAAATAGCTCTGCTTTTTAAAATCGTTTGCCAATTCCTCTCTTTCTTTCCCATTTCTTCCCCACTTCTATTAATAGTGAAAAGGTCTCCTGCTGCCTGCAGGGTTGGACAATTTTAGCTGCTTTTCTCGAGGTACAAACCAACTCCTTGAAGATTTCTGATATTGCTGCAGTGTGCTGCTAAATGATTGTTACCAGAAGCCTCAAAACTAATGTCAAAGTAATTGTTAAGTAAAAAAAATATATATATAAGTGCAAAACCAACTGAAAGGTAAGAAAGATTTCTACTTCAGCAAACTATACAGGTTTTTTTTGCACTAAGAGAAATTGAGACATGGATCCCAAATGAATTCTCTGAGAAAGCCAGTATAGTTTCCTTGTTTCAAAAAGAGCACAGTAGAATTGGGAAGGGTTAAGGGGAGGATGATCAAAACTATGGAATGACCCCTCATGAGATTTACAAACTCATGAACAACCTGGGGGAAATAGATGAGTTTACTCTTTCTTCCCATACATGTGGTAGGGTACAGCAAATGAAGCTGGTGGGAGCCAGGCGGGGGAGGAGGGTGGGCATTTGGCCTGCAGTGGGGTTTTTTTGTTTAGACCTGTGGGGCTGCTTGCGAGGATGCTGCGGAAGCTAGGTGTCTGCACAAGCTCCGGGGTAGGCTGCACAAATATATGGAAGAGAAATCCCAGGAAGGTTACTAGACACAAAAAAATGCATCCAACTCAGGAACCCCTGGAGCTGAAGACAGAGGCCAGGCTTGCTTGCCCTGTTCTTACTTTTTGCCAGGCAGCCTCTTATGGCTCTTTTTGGCTAGGTGGACCTTCAGTCTGACTCAGCACAGTTGCTCCTGTCTCTTTCCGTTTCTAAAAGCTGGACTCTTCTGGGAAAAAAAATAAAGAAAATTAGAATAACAGTAAATCAATTAATCTGAAACATTCTGTACCACACATTTTCCCCTCAGTTTTTCAAAATATGATGTATCCTTAAATATTTCAAGTAAACACTAGATCTGTTTTTGTGCATAACCTATGGACTACTGATGGTTTCAAGGAGCACTGGTGTTCCCTAGGCCACAGTGTGTGAGGTACTACTGATCCTCATGCTTTGTCATAAAAAAAAAAAAAAAGCTTATACATGTGCTGAATTTGGAAGACGTTTTTCTTCTTCTGTAAAGCCCTTCCAATGTACTTACACATTTAGCATTTCCTGTTAGTGCACTTCCTTTAGTAACACGAATGATGGAAAGAGGAGCCAGGGTAAGCCAGCAGAAGGTAGTTCCTTCTTGACATCATTTAGGTCTAAGTCAGAAAAGCAGTAATTGAAACAATTATTTGGGTCTTCTGTAGCCCCAGCCACTGTTAGCAACAGTGGGAAATGTTAAAGAAAGCTTATGGTCTCGGTTCCTCCTTGCTTTGGAGCACCCGCGCTCCCTTCTGCCAGTACAAAGAGTGCAAATGCTATTAGCTCTAAACCATAGTCTTTTTATATTCAGGTTGCGTTGGAATTAAAAACTAAACAACTACCCTGAGCATTGTAGAGGCTAGTTGAGAATCAGGCCTCCTGACACCTGCAACACCTTCAGACAACACTTTCAGAAATAAGACTTCTAATCTTGAAAATTCTCAAATAAGCTGGGTCATTTATAATTTCCTTTGTTCAAAATGAAAATGTTTATGGATATGAATGCATTGTACATGACATACAGGTTACCTATATACCCTGTACATCTCTCATACTTCCTAAATCAATGACATAAGCATAAAATATCATTTCAAATAGTAATAATGGAGAAGGATTTTCAAGACTTTAAACTGTAATACGTTTTAGTATCTTTAACCTAACATCACTGAATGTTAAGTAAATGTAGTATCACTAAAATAAAGTGCAGCAATTGGTCTACAAATTCTCACACCTTTGGATTTATTAGCTAAACAAAACTGGCAAACCTTTGGACTCTGAGCTGAGTGGAGGTGATCGCCTCACAACAACAGTGGCTGAACAAATGGAGCATGTTTATACAGGAAAAGCTTAAAAGGAGGAAATAGTTATTGGAAAGTTGATGACTAATTAGCTGAGGCCTATCTGAGAAAAGGAGAGAGGCGGAAAGTGAAAAACAGTTTTGATTCTGGAGAGCTGAACTTATATTTTTGCTATTTTCAGGCCCGCACTTTGCAAAAAGGGCTGAGTTATTGTCTTATGAGGTAGGTTGATATTACCTACATTTTACTTTTTAGACAGATGAAAACCAAGGTATGAAAGATTATGGTGCAAGAAAGGCAATGGTTATGCAGCACGAGTCATCAACATCTTTGACAACAAATGTACAGGCAGTTAAGGTGGAGTGACATCTTCTAGAGAGGGTGTTTTCCTTCACCTTCGAGAAATAACTCGAGGGATTCCTCAGAGATTTGCCTCTGTTTGTTATTACACAGTGACAATACTTTGTTGCGGTAACTTTGTAGTGAATAATTACGTTACCTACAAGCATTGTGACCTCTTATTGGGAATAAGCATGGAGAGCAAATGAATTACTGTGAAAAGAGAGCTGACCACTTGTGCAAATACCCTACAAACTTGCATAAAATTGCATACTGAATGACTTTAAAGAATTCTGGGCTTTTCAGTTCTGAAAACACTAGGCTTTTTCACTCTTAAGAATGAAGGTGGGAAAGTCTCAGAGCGGTGAGAAATTTCCTCAGAAGAAGAGAGAATTGATAAACTCCTGGGGAAGGAAGAGAGAGGCTGAGTGAGAGCGTGTTTAATACAGCATGGATTTGTTTCTCCATTGCTAGAAGATGTCCTCATTTCCTTCGGTGTGAGTAGGGTAACAGTTGACAGATGGCAGCATTACAGGCTTGTATGCAGAGAAGTGGCCAAATTATTTATTTAGAAATAGAAAAGCATGCATTTTTTCTAATATATCTAAAAGACTGTGATTGGATATCTGTTTTTAACAGTTTATAGACCAGCTTGTCTTTTCTTTTTTTAAAAAGGAAGGGGAAAATATATTCCACGTGTTGATTTGTAAAACAATGCAAACATTCAAAGCACGTATTTTCTGAATCCTAGGTTATTGGGCTATACAGCATTTTATGATATATGAGCTGCAAATGTATAAACAAACAATACTTACCCTTTTGTTCCATAATAGATGTCATGTGGGCAATGACAAGATGCCAGACAAGATGCCATTTGTAATCACTAGTATACAGCATACCATTTCAACCATAGTTAGTTAATTTTGATAATACATTGAGAACAGTAAATGTTACTCTCTTCACTTCATAGATGTGAAAACTAAAGCAGAATAGTGAAATGACTTGCCTAAACCCAAATAACTGAGGTTAATTAATTTACAGCTACAATATGTCTGTGAATCTCAGTGGCTGATCTATCCTAATAGCCTACTTACTAACTTCTAGATTACATGAGACCAGGTGTTATTGTGAACTTTTTGCTTTTTCTTGTAGATTAATTAAAACTTTCAAGTAGCGCAGTGAGTCTTAAAAATAAGACTATCAATAAACACTTGTCTTTTCCATGGAGGGGCTTAAGAAGCTAAAAATTTACTTCTCGACGTCTGCCTTTTCTGATGATTTAAAGAGTGCTGATAATTGTATCCGTCTATTGGAATTTAGATGACAGACCGTTGTATCTGCAAAATGCAACTGGCCTCTGCTAGGAAGAAACTAGTCTGTCATGAACGTTCCAAAAGTCTCACAAACACTCCAGAGATGCTTGTGGTGGCCCAGGAAAAGTAATACTTGGTCCAAATATGTTTCATGATTCTCTTGCTCTGTTATGGGAAAAAATATTTCCATTAAAATTTCGGAATGAAAATGAATTTTTCTTTAAATTAATCTTTTTGCAGAAAGCCTCTGCTTTCCTAGAAAATTGTTTAATTTCATCAGAAAATAAATAAAAGGTGTTTATTCTTGGTGTTGGCTAGAATTTTCTTCTTTTTTGTTTAAAAATTTTAGGCTAAAAGTATCAATAAAATCACTCTTCAAAGTATGCTAATTTTGCCAAAAAAACGTCCCCAACTAATTCTACATGCTGCTACCTCTCCTAGGCAGAAGTGCAGCCTTTAATTCTATCTTTGCAGGTCCCAGATTGAAACCCTGCTGTTAACTCCTGCAGTTAACCATACAATACAGCATCTTCTCACCCTCTGAGCTCTTAGCAACAGATTTATAAGGTAGCGTCTGCATATTTCTTGGCAGACAGAGGTGTGTCAAAGTATGACTAAATCATACTGTGTAGCATGTTATTTCTGAAATAATTACATATTCACGTATACTGCTCTTGGAGATGCAAACCTCCATCCCAGGCTCACAGCTATCACAGAGAGGAGGAGGATGAGGGACTGCCCAGGTTTAGACAGAAGCACCAACGGCATCAAGAAATCCGCTGGGCAGAGGGAAGATCAGGATTACAGAGAGGAACTAATGATCCTAGAGATATGTATTTCCATGTGAAAGACTTAGCTCTATATTCTGCCTCTGCCATGGGTGCTGCTCCTTCCTGCACCGAGCAGTATGTCCATGAGGAAGCATGAACACAGAGCGAGGGCTCCAGCCACCAAGTTTTCTGTTCCTCTCATGTCCATTGCAAGCAGTTTGTTTATGATCCAGGATGATCATATTTCTTTAAAAAGAGTAGTTTCCCTTCTGGCACACTACACATCCTCTCCACGAGGTTAATAACTATGCCTAGTTGCAGAGAGCTGGTAAATCAGGTTGCGTTGAAACTAGTATTTGCTCACAATAACCCCACAATGGAGGCTGGTAATTTAGACTTAGAACAGAATATATCTGCAGGAATGAATGATATATGCTTACTTTTTAATGGCTTCAAGACTTCTATTTTTTTCTGCTGACCTATTTTATTCCTCATTTTTAAATTTTAAAGTCTGCTCTGCTCTGCTCTGTCCTTTCCATCATTTGTGGCATCGGAGGAGATATCTTTCCCCTAAGCAATGTTCTTCAGATGCATTATTTTATGTAACAATTTTAGCTGTACTCCAGAATTAAAAAAATAGAAAGAAATTTTGAAAAATATTGTTAATATTGACTTTTTAAACCAAACGCAGAACTTTTCGAGTGAAAAATAATATCCATGCAAGGTGTTAGATGAGTAACTTAGAAAGGTTTGAATACACACACATTCACTTAATAAGATACTGACTGTCAAGCTGTCAGCCAAACTGCCCTGCTGAAGAGACTTGCTTTAATTTAGAGCAACAAACTCTTAGAAGAAACATCTGAAACACTCTCTGTACCCATCAAATTCCTGGACTGTCAAAAAGCTACTAATTAGCGTCAGTGCTTTTGTGCTTAGATCACTATGATTTTGACTGAAACAAAATAAGTTAACTAGTTGTTCACTAGCAGCTATGACCCTTGAGAAGAAATGGCCTACGGGACAATTTAAGACCCAAGCTCACAATGTTCCCACTGAACAGCCAGTGTAGCAGTGAGGCCAATAAGAATTTTGCTTACAAAACAGATTTTTTTTTAAAATTGTATTTTCAAAAATATATTTTAAATTATTCTAAATGTTTTTTCCTGCTTTTTGAGTAATATAATTCCATCACAACTGATCATATGAGGAAAAATCCAGGCTAACAGTAGCTGACAGGATAAGCATATAATCTGCATTTAAAATGTAATGTACATTCATTGATATAAAAGGTGTCATAAGCACTACCTTTAAAGTTAACTGAACCCATGCTAAGTGCAGGATAGAATTATAATTGGGCCAACAGTGCTTCAAAAATGCTACTGACAAAGGAATTACTGCAATGTTTTGCAGAAAATGAGTCGAGTGACATGAACTTACTATTTGGAATATTTTTCCTCCTCAGGGCAG